TAATGTGACATTATTTGGGGGGTGGGGAGGTAAGGGGGACATTAAAGTAACTAATTAGCGATGAATTGCAACTTTTCCTATTATGTTGAGTACGTGGACGTAGCTTGTCCATTTACTAAGGGGAGGCGTACCAACTACTTTTGTCACTCATTGTACCCTTAGTTATGGGGAATAAGGAAATGTTTTAGTCCACTGCAAAATAAATAGGGTATTTTTAAAGGAAAACTGTTAGATTGATCTTATTTTAAAAAGGGAATTGGTTGTTTCAGGATCCTGTGCACTCCAAGTGCTGGCTTGAGCTCGAGAGAAGTGGTGTGCTTAAGATGGAGCTTGTTGATCATGTTTTCTCACCCCTTATTCAGCAAGGCGTCAACAAGGGAGACATCTTGGATATGATGGAGCAGTTTGGTTTGATTGCCAAATACTCACCATCTCCGGCTGACGTTCAGTACTTTGTACCATGTCAACTGAGGTCTTCGCCTGAAGAGCTTTGTAAAATGGAGCCATCATGTACGGATCCTTGTCTTTTGTATCTTCATTTCCAGGAAGGCTTTGTCCCGCATGGTCTTTTTACTCGCCTTGTTTCAAAATCGGTTGCCTGGTGTGGTGCAAATGGATCGTCACAGCCTCCAAAACTCTACCAGAATGGTGCATGGTTCGTTCTTGAAGGACGCGTCATACATGACATGATTCTGATTTGCAAAAAGAAGTTCATAAAAATCCTCTTGAGACAAAGAGTTAATGAAGCAGTTCTAGTGTCTAATTCAACTTTGGCAGAAGTTGCCAGAAATGTGCGATTGTTCATGGAAAGAATTTTAGAAAAGATGTCACAGGAGTTCCCATACTTGAGCAGGATGCAGTATGAATTTTGTGTTGAATGCCCCTACTGTCAGCAGGGAGGTCGCAAGTGCACAGACCACAACCAATTGTCCTGTGCAAAAGAAGACTGCTTACACCTGCTTGAATTAAGACAAGGACAGGCTTTGATCTGTATGGAAAGCATGTCTAATAAAGTACTTACA